CACGAAGGGACTTTATGACATCTCTAAGAGACACCCATATGAGCTATAGTCTAAACTCCTAGTATCCCCCTTAATATCCCCTATAGTAGTCCCCTATATAATCCCCTACATAACCCCCGTTTAAGGAGTTTAGACTATAGCTCATATCAGTGATTATGACAAGGATCAGGATGTCCAGCACCCCACCAGTCAGTATGTCAGGAGTATTTGAAGGACATGGGGGCATTACTGTAGGTTTAGGGTTTAGGGTTTAGGGTTTAGGGTTTAGGGTTTAGGGTTTAAGGAAATATGCCAAAGGTTCCTCCAGTTTGTGATAAGATGCCCACCCTGTGCCTTCCACTCATGACCACGACATTGACAGCAGCTTATTGGATGTCTTTAGAGGTGATTTAAAAAAAAACTGGTTTTAGGGATCATATCAGCTATAGTCTAAACTCCCAGATCCCCCCGTAATAACCCCTATACTACTTCCCTATATAATCCTCTATATAACCCACCTTTAAGGAGTTTAGACTATAGCTCATATGAGGACAATGCGACGACAATAGGGCTTCATAGGGTGTCAACTCTGGAGGACCTTGTTTGGGTAGACCTTGCACCTGCTCTGAAGCCACCTGTTTGCTGAAAGAACGGTTTGCAAGGGCTTGGGTCTGGGCAAGCTGAAAAATGTGCTCTTGACATCTGCCCCAAGCAAATACTTTCATGTCAGAGGTGCTCCCTGCCTACAATAAAATCGAACTCTGAAGACCCGTCGCAACACAGCAAATGTTCAAGAACTGGAACAAAGTTGAAGGAACTCCCCACTTAACACATGCCGTTTCAAGTTACGATGGCTTTAGGGCCTTGTTAAAGCTTGTTTCCAGGCTTGCGGGGGTGGCATGGATCTGATGCCGCTGCAGCAACTCAGGATTCTGCCCATTAGCCTCATCCCACATTCTCAACGTAAACTGCATAACGCTCTTAGAAGATAGTACTGAACTGGCTTGGTCAAAAAGAAAAGCCAGCAAACCTGGGCTTGTGGCACTGACCCCTGAAAAGCCCCTTCATGAAACCAAAAGTTTATAGGGGTTATATTGGGGTTATATTGGAATAATGGAAAAGAAAATGGCAATTGGTATCTAGGGCTTCACGCCATCGGACCTCACTCCCTTCACGCCGTCTCCCCCAAACGACCAAGTAGAAACTGAACCCTGAAATGGCCTTGGCCAACCGCTTTCTTGCTTCTGCTTGGTTGGCCTTTCAGTGGCTTGCCAAATAGGGAACGTGGGCGCGAATCCCCGTAAGAACATGCGAAAAAAATCTCCATCCTAATAGCCAGCACTGCTACAATAATGAAGCTCCTATGGTCCATTCTCTGCACCCAGCGCTAGTCTATTCTGCTGACGATCCGGGACACTTGGGAGCTGAGACTTGGTAGGTGTCACAATTAATGGGCGCATTACCCATAGGTCAAATCCTCAAGACAGAAACCCCACAAAGAATGGTTTGGCCCACCTTGCGCTTCACGGGCTGTAAAGGGTTCAGGTCCGGGAGCGCTGGCTTAGTGCTCTAGCCACCATGCTTTGCCTTCTTCTTTTCATTCCTCTTCCGTTTTTGTCATCATCTTCTAATTTTGACGGTGCTGGGTTTGTTTATGCCATGTGTTTGGTTCTTCAGGCTGATCAGCTTCTCCAACTAATCTAGGGTCTGAATAGTGTTTGCATACATTTGCCCAGCAGTGGTGCAAAAGGTAGGGACGGCGGGGAAGTGAGGATCCAAGGGTACTGGGCATCGTTTGAATTGATGATGTTTTGAATTAATTGATGCGCCTTGGGGATTAGAGCAAGCTGCTTGCTACATGCTGACTGATTATAAGAGCCTCCTCCTTCTGCGCCACCAATGCTTCAGCCACATCTTTTGCCTGCTGCCAAGCGTTCTTGGCGGAGGTCTCCTGCGAACATGGAGTAATATGGCGGATGAACCAACGCTTGGACAACTTGGAACCCCAAGAGACTGCACTTTCCGAAGCCAATAGGTTTTTAAGCCAGTGGAAAACGTCCCCATGACGTCCTCCCCACGGGAGGAAATGTATCACGTCTTCTCCACTTCAGCAAGATGTCCCCGCAAGCTCGAGAGGAGCACGATTGCAATGTTGCTTTGGGGGTTAATATTTCTTGCCCAACATCCTATCATAGTCCTAGCACCGCAGTCTAGATAAGACACTAGTCACTAGTTCAGATTGACTCTGCGAGTGGCTACCTGCGAATGCATATCAGACAGCTCACTTCAACCATCCAGGATTCTTCTATGTAAAATTTACAGGGCGTCCGCACGCTTCACTGCTAACATAGAAGCCAGCAAGGTCAACCGAACGCAACTCTGGGCAGACTGGTGTCCATCTGGTGGAACTGGCGGCTTGCTTGTTCCTCCTGGCGGACCGATATCGGTGATTGAGACAAAGAATTTTCATTGATTTGTTTAGCCCTCCTAGTTAAGAAAGTAGGAGATTATCATCTTGTGTTTCGCGTGCTTCAGGCTGAAGTGGGCACTAAGACGTCAAAAACGAACTACCGTGACAGACTGCCCTACCGGGCCATACGGAGCCTGAAGCAGCCGAGATGAAAAGAAGATTTCTCGATATTACTAAAGTTAGTTTCCCTACTGAAATTGTACGTCGCATCTGATTTCTCTACATGGTTGGGCTACTTTCTGGCTGAGGTTAGCACTTCCGGGATTTAGATTAGCAAACGCGGGGCCCACGCGGTATGAAACGGCTGACATCAACACCGTGGCGCTTATCGAGGGGAATAGGTAACGGTATGCAGGGCCATACGAAGAAAACCAAAAACACGGAGAAAGCAGGCGACGATGGCTTCCAGAGAACAACTTCTGTAGACAACAAGCAAACCATGGCAGATGGCATGTGTCATAAATACCGTCGTTCCGTCAAGGTATTGATAACCAACATCTTGCGAGAATACACAGATTCTACGCTTCATGCGTATGCAGGTGTCCACTACACCGCCAGTCTGCCAAGAGTGCAATGCTGATGCTTGTGACACTTGCGCGTTCATTGCCAAGGGACTGGCCGCAAGAATGCCCAGGGGGCCTCAGTCATTGACCTTTGGAACTGCATAATGCTCAAAGATCCAAGCTTGGAGGTTACAACACTCCTTGAGAAGCCCTGACAACCAAGAACCTCATGCCACCGCTGATGCCTAATAAGCTGCACTGAGAACGAAGTAACAACATCGCACATGCGCATACACTGAGAAGCAAACCACTTCAAACGTTGTGAGCAAACTACTTCACCAGTTCCCAGATCCCCTACATACCCACAGACTCATAGCAATAATATAACCGCAATATATACCCTATTATAATTTAGTAGTTTCCGTTTTCTTTTCCATTATCCCTAAATAACCCCAATATAACCCCCATATACACCCCTTGGAAGCCTTGGAAAGCGGCTCCTGCGCAAAGAGCTCCGCATTGAGGCTGGAGGTCTCCGAAGCGTCGGAACGCGTCAGCTCGGGCTCTACCTGCCAGAGTCCGCCGCAATAACGGTGTAGGCTTAAGATTTGGTAGTTTCCCAACATTAAGAGTACTATTTGGGGGGTTCCTATGGGGTCCTCTATTTAGGAAAACCACCATTTAGTTTAGGGTCCAGGGTTTACGGTTCAGGGTTCGGGATCTAGGGTGCAGGGTTACGGGCTTAGTATGGTTGCTGTTTGGGGTTGAGATTTCAGGCAAGAGGCTCCAGCTTTCCCCAGATGTACACTGAGAGCAGAGGTTCCGGGGTATTGCCCCAATCTAACCCCAACGTGACCCTACATTGCCCAAATATCCCATATGTTCGCCTCATTGGCTCTGCCCGTCTCCCCGGATCCAGCGGTACAGCGACAGGAGCCCTGTATGGGCTGAGAGATGCTCAGACGGGGCCTGATAGGATGATGTAGGAATCTCTTCTCTTTAAAACTACTATAACTATAGTAATATATTGGGATACTGGAAAAGAAAATGGAAACTACTATAGTGTAATGGGTATATTTGGGGGTTGTATTGGGATAAAAAGTTGTGAAGGCTTGCTGTCAAGAGCTTTGCTCCTGCAAGTGTGGTGCGGTCTGCTAGTTTGAGAATGGTGCTCTGCTCCAAGAAAGTCAATACCCAGAACTGCAGTCGCTTGGGGACTGCAAGTGGTGCAAGATGTCCTTATCAGCTTTTCGAATCTCAGGATCTGGCCGTTCACATCCTTGAAAAAGGACAAAGGGTAGGAGCTTGAAAGAGTATCCCTTACCTGATAGTCTGCGTCTATCTAGCTTGTTGCCTGAAGCTGCATGAACATAAGTGGCGTGCCACGCACGCCCACGAATTTCATCACTTCCACCTCCCAATGCTCCCAAAGCCCGCGGGTTTAGGGTTTAGGGTTTAGGGTGTCCATTTTCCTTTCCAGTATCCCAATATATCACCTACATAATCCCCATTACACTCTGGTGTCAATTTTTCTTGTCCATTATCCCAATACAACCCCCAAATATACCTATTACACTATAGTAGTCTCCATTTTCTTTTCCATTATCCCAATATATAATCCCCATATTCTATGTACTTAAGGAGGACTATAAACCCTAAACCCTAAATAGTAGTTTCCATTTTCTTTTCCATTATCCCGATGTATCCCCTATAATTATAATAGTTTTAAAGAACCGCCAAACTCAGCACTCAAAGCTGCAAGCCTAACCTTGATCAAGCCTTGAACTTCGCATGATGGATCACTAGGTCCAGTTTATAGTCCCGCTTAAGTAGATAGAATATGGCTTTGGGTGCATGATACTAAAATACCCATATACCCCATATTCTATCTACTTAAGGGGGGCTTTACACGTAAGAGCTCTGAGCCAAGCCTAGGTTGGTGGACCAAAGGCCATGCAAGCTTCATAGCATCCACCTTCCCAAATTCGACGTCTCCCCTGAACACTTGGGGAAAACATTGTCCTCAATTTGTTCGGGAACTTCCCTGCCTGCTCATCGCTCTTCTCTGACTCCTCTGACCCATCGCTCACAGCAACTGCAGGCTTCCTTTGCTTAGGCTGCAAGAGACAGGGGGAGGGCAAATCATCCATACCTTAAACCCTAAACCCTAAACCCTAAATCCTTAAACCCTAAACCTTTCCATTTTCTTTGTTAGCGCATTTGGTGCCAATCAGGGGGCGGTAACAATCTCCTGACAAAGCACCCCACGACCGCTGTCTACGGTTCGGGTCCCTCAATGCTTTGAAACTACCGCTTAAGAATCCCAAAGCCCCAAAATAACCCTGTATAACATAATTAGTAGTTTCCATTTTCTTTTCCATTATCCCAATATATCACCTACATAATCCCTATCATACTCTAGTAGTGTCCATTTTCCATTATCCCTACATAACCCTATACTATACCCTTATACCCTAAACCTCCCTATATTACCCCTATATTATCCCCTTATACCCTAAACCCTAAGTCAGCATCTTCATTGCCAAACAGGCGGCGTTGTGCTCGGCGGTGCCTCGTCCGAAGCGGCGGCAGCGGCGGCGGCTGGAGCCGCAGCCTCAATACAGTTCCGGTGCGTCACGCACCTTTCTTCAAAATGGGAGAAGTATAGAAGTGGGTTTAGGGTTTAGGGGCTTAGGGTTTAGGGGACTCCAACATAGGGACTTCCACTACACAACTGACAGGAAATCCCCACACCTTGCTAATGCAAAACCGCCCGAAGTCCAGGCGAAGCTCTGCACTGTCCCAGCACACATCCTTCCCATGCAGCCCCCAGGAGTGCTCTGCAAAATTGAGCAACTAGGTTGGCCCCTAAAACCCATTGAAAAATATGAACATATATGGTTTCCTATTAAAGCCATTAGGGACAATAATGAATATCCCAGGGGCCTACCCAGGCAGGCACTAGGTAAAGCTGCCCTGCACTACTACCCACGTCGCTGCCTTCTCGGCAGTCTTCTCCGTCTCATCCCGCACATCGCAGGAAGCACGTGCAGGCTTCCTGAAGTCAGGCTCCAAGACGGGGAGGGATACAGGGAGGCCTCAAAAGGTACAAAGAATGCCGTCCTGTTAAGGGGGCCTGTGGGGGGCAATCCTTCGTCCTCAAACATTCCTACAAAACCCCTACAGATCCCAAGGCATGATGTCAAAAAACTAAAGCCCTCAACATCCAGAAACCCAATTCCAAGCCCAAAACCTTCTTCCAACACCCCTAGCCCCCCCCTACTGGAACACCCCAAAGACCCAAAAGCCACTACGTAGCCAGGTTGCAGGGGCTTTGACGGCGCTTTCCGCAACGGGCCGGCCAAGCCCTGAACGGGCAGGAAGACAGGGGAAATGAATCTTTTCTTCCTTAATAACCCCTATAGTAGTCCCTATATAATCCCCTATATAATTCCCTATATAACCCCCTTTAGGGAGTTTAGACTATAGCTCACATACTATTAGTGTTTGGGGTCAGGCCTTCAAGAAGTTGGAGGGTTTTGGGGTCAGTTTTTGGCCTTGGGCCTGTTGAAGCTTATGTGATTTAGGCCTGGCTTGTCCGTCGTGGGCAAGTCCAGTAGCGTGGTGCGTCATCTCTGTACTTCCTTACAGTGCTTTCTTTTCAGCAGAAATAGAAACTTAATTTGGCAGTCCCCAGACTTCAGAAATCTGGGTGCTTCGGAACTGGTCGTTCAATCACATGTTGGCCGCAGCCGCGCCTTCTCATTATCCTTCTGCTTCTCCTCAGGCACATCTCGCGCGGTGCGTGGCGTCTTCCTTGCGGAGAGTGGCAAGCACCACTGGCGGAGAAACACAAGAGCCAGAAAACACATCAACATGCAGTTTCACAATGTATCATATGCATAGCCTCCTCATACACGGACAAACAGCCGACATGGTACTCTCAAAGTCCAAGATATTACTACCATGACCCATAGTTACACCCATGACATTACCCTTCTAGAATCTCGTACCAACCTGATGATTTCATGACGAGACCAGTTCAAAGCAACCCAGAACCCAACGCCTCCCCGAGGCCCCAGTACAGTCCGGGCTGCTTAGACAGCAAGGAGGCATTGCGCGAAGGCACAGAAGAGGCCTGAGCAGAATGATTTTAAAGGCTTTACTGGGGTCCTTGGGTCTGGAGTCTAGGAAGCACGCAGCTCGCGCAATTGCTGTTGATTTTCCGAGCATCCCCACTCGCAATCACACATGTGTTTTGCTTAACGCCTACTGTCGGAGTTATTACTTTGTTGCTATAGATTCTAGATCTTTAATGTTTATCTGTGTTTGCATCTTTTGCTCCTAGTGCTACTCCTCCTTTTGCTGCTGGTGTAGTGCTTCCGATATTGCTGCTAATCCTGGGAATTTACCCCAAGCTCTTAACCCCACGCGCGAAAACTGCAAACGGTTACAATGGTGTGACTCTGGCCTCTGCCGGTTCTTTCTCCGGTGCCGCTGGCACTTCGCGTGCCGGGCGCTTCAGCCTCCTGGGAGCAGGACAAAGTGTTAAGGTTGGGTTATATAGGGATAATGGAAAAGAAAATGGACACCACTATATAGTATACTGGGGTTATATGGGGCTTGGGATTTTTCTATTACCCCTGGGACTTGTGGTTTAGGGTTTAGAGCTGAAGTTCTACGATTCTGACTAGGGCTTGGGATGCGGGGCTTTACTTTACGGATCTCTTTTGAGGGCTGTGGACGTTACAAAGCCTACAGACCCCCTTAAGTAGATAGAATATGGTTTGGCTGTAGTATTTTAAGATCCCCATATACCCCATATTCTGTCTACTTAATTAAGGGGGACGATTGCTGGATAACACGAAGGTCATACAGAGACGGCCCTGCACAAGAAGCATGTGAAGGATGCATCCAGGTAGCAGAACGGGAGGAACCTCAATAATTGGGTTAGAACCAGGAGCGAAGGAGTATTCTGCGGTCTCTTGACTTGAAGGGGGTAGTACATAGCTACTATGTTTGGATCATATTCCCTTATCCCCTACTAACCACCAACAAATTGAGGGATGCTTGCAGCCCGATCGGCGGGGACTTCGGCAGTGTCATCTGCAAAGGTGTTGATACTGCATCCTCGAGCGGCGAGTCGCGGGTGGAATTATAAACTTGGGGTGTATAGGTTTGCGTGGAGGTTTGAGCTCATGGGGGGGTTTAGTCTATGCCCGTCTTCTTTAGCAGCCCATAATGCAAAGTACCCAAAGGACGAGCGAACTTCTACTAGAAGTTGAGGGCCTGGGGCTAGGCAAACAAGCCTCTGAGCTTTGGGATTCTGATGCACCAGTACTTGGAGAACCCCACACTGTAGGAAGGGATTTAGGGTTTAGGGCTCTCTGAAAAATGGGGGGGAGTGTGTACGGTAGCTAGAGGAAGGGTTTTGACAGAAATGCCGCACCCTGCAGACTACCGGCCGGGGCTCCCTGACAAGGCTCATCAACTATGAGCAACATGGGGAACAAAGGCATTCCTTTCGTGACGCCCTATTGATACCAGTACCTCAGGAAATCTGGAAATCCTACAAAATCATCAAATAATCAAAATGTGTAGGTTTAATGAAATAATGTAAGTAGTAGCGATGGTAGTTAAAGCAAGCAGAATACAAACAGCAATAATTTTGGCAGTAATTCCACCACTAATAACTAACGCGACAATGATACTTCTTTGAAGCCGAAGGGAGAGTGCCGCCCCTAAATTCTAAAGTTCAAACAGTAGTTTCCATGTAGTTGTCCGTTATCCCTGTGTGTCCCTATATAACCCTATATATCCCTATATCACTCTCGATTATAACCCTACATATCCCTGAGAGTGTGTGGCCTGGTTCGCGCGCAGAAGTCGCCCAAGCAGACTTGCCTGTGGTGGCCTCGTCACCTTCAAAGGAGGGCTCAAGGAGTTAGGGTTAGGGTTTAAGGTTTAGAGCTTAGGGTTTAGGGTTTACATAGGGACTATACAGGGATGATATAGGGGCAAGATAGGGATGATACAAGGATATATAGAGGTTCTACGTATATGTTATACAGGGATGATATTTGAGTAGATACGTAGGGGTATATAGGTTTAGGGAGACTACCCCGCTTATGGAGAATCAAATGGAGAAGAAAATTGAAAAGAAAGGGAAATTGAAATGGGAACTGGGATTAGTAGAGGCTTGGGGCTTACACCCAGTAACAATCTATAATATAATTAAGATTAAGGGCTTCATACTATAGCTACTATCCAGCTGCTACTGGGGGGGGGCTCCAAGGCTTGGTAAGAGTTGCAAGGATTTCCGGAGTAATTTAAGCCCCCGCAATTCCAGATGCGCCCCAAACAAGTCGGATTCCTCGATCCACCCCTAAACCCTAAACCCTTAAGCCCTTAAACCCTGAACCTTTAGGGATAGTGCTGGTCCTTGCTGCAGTGGCTTCGGCAAGCACACAATTTCACACTACAGGTGATGTTTAACTCGACAGAAGAGGGAACCCTAAAGTTTGGGGTTTAGGGTTCAAGGGGTTTAGGGTTTTCAGTTCTCAGGCTTTGGGGGGAACCCCAAGCAAAGATTATAGTGCAGACCGCTGAATCGTACATGCTTGCTTCACAAGAACCCACAAATTTATGAGATCCTTGCACCACCTATGAAAGGGGGTGCTCTGAGTCACGGGCCTACTATGGGCCCAACATCCGACCTTGGATCTTGAAGCCCTTTGCCTTCGTTGGGGCCAGCAGTCCTGAAGGCTCTAACTAATTGCTGTAATCAGGGGTTTGGGTTGTAGGGACAGAATTGGTGCAATCTGGTTTATACCCTGAGTGGTATCTAGGCCTCAACTGCCGCAACGCTGCCTCCCTTATCCGGGTGCAACAGGTACAGACAAATGCGTAAAAAGGTGCGAACACGAGGAATAGCTGGCAGAACTCGCATCATCCTAATTACAACCTTTCTGCCTAAACCCCACTGTAAACCCGAAATAGTAGCTTGATTGTCATTTTCCGTTATCCCAATAGAACCCCTATATAACCCCTATAGTTTCATGTGATGGTTAGGCCGCCACTGGCTGTCTTCCGATCCTCACGATGCATTAGCTCAAACCCTAAACCCAACTTGCAGGCTCTGGGGAAGAACTGCGCACTGGGCTGGCAATAGGTTTAGGGTTTAGGGTTTAGGGTTAGGGTTGGGGAGCTTGCTTTCCCTGTTACACTTCAACGGATGCCCCGCACCAATCCCTGACCCATCTGCAGGCCTCGTTGTTTGGGACAGCTGGACCCAAAGCAGCGGGCTGACTTCCCTCCAACCTGCTAACTTTTGAGAGCTTTAAGCAGTAATAGTAATAACAGAAATAGTAGTAATGATAATAGTGATACTGTTGATGGAGGAAATCTTGCACCACCTTAAGTCCTTAAAGTCCTAGGAATTACAGTAGTTTAGGGCCGCTAGGTGTTCCAAGATTTCATCCATCAACAGTATTAGTATAATAGTAATGAAGCCCTGGCGTTTGGGATTGGGATTTAGGGTGTTAGGGTTAGAAGTTCAAGATTCCGGGGTCAGGAGGGATGTGAGGATCTTCGGGTTTGAAGGGGCCTTCATGTGGCAGGTCTTCATCACTATAACCCCTATATAACCCCAATATACCCCCTATAAACTGCCCTATAATCCCAGATTCCATTTCATTTTGCATTTTCTGTTCCATCTGATTCTCGATTCTTCTGTGATGGATCACACCTCTTGCACAGGGTTCCGAGCACCTCACCTGGAAACACGCCTCTTCCACAGCACACTCCTCAGACACTTCTTGCACATGCTGGAAACTACCGTGGCATACCGTGGCGGTTTGCAGGCTAAAGCAGCGTCCCAGAAATTCTGCAAACAGGCGGAGTCCCCATCCTAGCTCTGTCAAACCAATGTCTTTCCGTTTCAGCATGAGGGCTGGCCAGGCACATAGAGAAAGAGATCCGCAGATGTATAAGATCCTAATCCGAACATCATCCATTGATATTAAACACTTAAAACCTGCGAAGAGAGGATTTGGATAAGAAGCAGCTGCCTGTTCAGTGGGGGACAAGTGCGCGATCTTGCCCTGGCATCCTCATCCAAGCTTCTTAGGGTCAGAGGCAGAGGGTCTCAGGGTCTAGTAGTTGACTCCTTCTGGGGTCCACTTTTCTGGAAACTTCATGTACACTGGAGGCGTTGTAGGGCCCAGGATTGAGGAGTTGGGTGTGGGGTTGCGTATCTGGCCGCTGAGCAGCCAAGGTTGAGTTTGCCGTGCCAGTAGGACTCAGAATGCAGTGCGTGCTGTTCTGAGACGGAGTCTTCGACCTCAAAGCTTCAACGCCTGAAGTAGTGCGCATCTGCAATGCTGAGACCTTCTTGTTGGTCACCATTTTCCACACGATCTGCCACACCCTGCGACGCATGCAAACTCGCAAGCGCTTAGGGCAGCTTCTATTCACACGTTCTATTCACTGCGCTGCTTTGCGCGCCTCAATGGCCAGCAGGATATCATCCAAGTGGTCCACTATCCTATCCAGATGAAACCTTGCTGCCAGTCTCAAGCCTTTCTCAGATGCTTCAGCGCGTAGGGAGGCATTGTTCAGCAGGGCTTTCAGCGCAACCTGGGTGCTGTTAGAGAACTTTGCCATAATATGGGTAATTACATAACAAATAACTGGGCTATCCGAAATTAAAGTACCATTTGGGTGTCCATAGAACAAGGACTGTAGTATATTGAGGTCTATATTGAGTTCCCCCTGTTCATGGAGCCTACAAATTTTGTTTCCAGACAATGGTAACTTCATTGAAGTTCCTCAGCAGCAACCCAGTAGCATGGACATCCGAATCCGAAGTGATGATCAGCTCCGGTGGATAGACTTCTGCTTGTGGGCCTTGGAGGTGAGGGACTTGAATGTTTTTGAGGCGTTATATAGGGATAATGGAAAAGAAAATGGAAACTAGTATGATGGGGCTATATAGGGATTATAGGGTATATATGGGGTTTATATTGGGATGATGGAAAATAGAATGCAAACTACTATAATGGGGTTCTAGGACCCTAGGAACATTTCTGTTCTTAGATCATACTGGGCTGAGGTACACATAAAGATGCATGATGCTGGTTTTGATCTTTTGTAACAATGGCCATCCTTGACTTATACTGGGTCCAGGTATATGGAGACATGTAAAAAGCTTGTTGAACCCTAAACCCCTAAACCCTAAACCCTGAACCCTTAAACCCTAAGCCAAGAAGGGCGGAGGCACCTCCATCACCATTGGGCCAGAGACCCTCGACCACGTCCAGATACCCCTGCGCATCACTCCAAACCACAGCTGGCATTCCCACGCTCATCATATTCCTGCAGCCAGGCCATCAGGATCAGATTTTAAGAGTTCAGCACAACAGAAACTCTTACCATTGGGATCCTCGTAGATGGATATCACTGATGAGTATGACTGCTAAATTGCTACTAAACTAAGGTCGCCATGGACCTGCCTTTGGATATTCTCCAAAATTCAGGTCCTAGGCATGCAGGGTCTTGAGCATAGGGACCCCCAACAGAGCAGTTCCATACTAGAAGGCCAAAACTCATGATCCCGAACTCTCCAGGTGATCCCAAACAACTCCCACACCTTAGAGCTCATACCTTGTGCTGCTTAAGCTAGGGGGCACCAGGCGTTGGCCGGTCTTCCAGCGGCTGCAGAAAAACCATTCAGAGACACACCCGGACTGCTTGGCGAAGCCTGACATCTTGAAAGCTTGCAGACAAGGCAGTGCACAGAGTAATCGGGTGGACAAACCTAGGAGATACCAAACACGGATTTGCTATCTGAAGCAGCGCTAAGACCCCCTAAAGGATCCAAAAAATGGAGCCCCCCCAATACAAACCCATTACTACATTGAGAAACTAGGGGAATATTAGGGGTCCCGCACGGGAGCGCAATTTTCGAAAATCGGAGGCAGGGCTGGGTCGTACATGTCCCTTCAGGCCGCACTACTACGGCAGGCAAGACCCTCGCAAAAAGAAGCCCCTCCATGTGAGGTCTAGTGTAAACTCCTAGTATCCCCCTTAATGACCCTTAGAATCGGAACCCTATATAAACCCCTTTAAGGAGTTTACACTATAGCTCATTTTCAATATCACATCCCGGGGTAACTTCTGGTCCCACTAGCATCAACCTTCCCCATGTTCTTGGAGACAACCAGAGCCTATTTGTAACGTACTCAGCTGCTGATACACCATATCTGTGTGCTGCGGCGTGGTGAGCCGTCCCTCGTTGAACTGGAAGAGCATGTTCGGGTCTAAATGGACGAACCTCACTTTCAAAGGAAATTGGAAAAAAAGAAGTTCTAATGTCATCCTACTGCATCATCCTTGCAAAGATAACACCAAAACCTTTCAAGCTAAGCATTAGCCGAAGTGACTCCGGCTCCTCCCCAATGCCAGATGCAGAAAAATGACTTGCCAAAGCCCGCTCCACCTCCTGCTGCAACTCTCTGTCCACATGAATGGTGTGCACGCCAACCCTCCGGACGCCTGCAGCTGGATCTACTCGCAGATCATGTTTGTTCAGATGGTGATGTGGAAGCCAATGCACTTCCAGCTGGCCCGATGCCAGGATCGGCAAGAGAGTTGGTTGTCGTTCCAAGTCTTGCTTGCAAAGAGATGTCTGCACCAGCAAAGCATCCACCTCTGTAATGTTGCTCAACACGTCAAAGGTGTCTACAGGGTCGAACACATGGGCTGCGCGGGGCCAGCCAACCACAGCGCACAAACAGATAAACTTCACATGTACAATGCTCGTTGGGCTCCAAGCCTTTTCAATGTTGCACCACTCCGTACATGGCCAGTTCCAGGCCCTGGCATCAACCCCCTTCTTCCGAAAGCCCCGTGCCATTTGTCTGCCACGTACAGTGAAAGAGCCCCACTGGTAGGTGGATTCGCCGCCCCCAAGAAACAGCACACGTCGCGAAGAGGAGCTGCTGGGATACCAGCCTGACGGGGTGTTAACCCTTATATGAGCTCGAGTCCAAACTCCTTAAAGGGGAGTATATAGGGAAGTATTACAGGGCTTTTTAAGGGGATACTGGGAGTTTAGGCTATAGCTCATATTTATGCACTCATATGTTCATGCGCAGATAGATATATGGACAGCAAGTGAGTCTATTGAAGCTGTCGGAGAGGCTTGTTGAAAAATGGCCGAAGCGTACCTACCAGTGGTGCTGACTGATCGCCCACAACTAGCCTTACTCCAAGAATAAGGTCTCCTTTTTACGTCTCAGGTGTAGTCTAGTCCGTATAGCACGCACAGACTTCCGAGGATAATCCTACAGAAGCTCGTTCCATACTTCCCAGACAATCCGCACATGACCCCAGTATCAGCTCCTGAAAATCCCTGGTTAAGACCATGCGAAGATGTTTAAATCTCCAGAAAGAGTCTTTTTCTGCCACACAGCACAACCCGTCAGAAAATACTTTGGAAGAAAAGGATCAAAACTATGACTGGGAGCAGGAAGTCTTGATGTAAAGACCTTCACACGCAAATCCTAGCATTTGGGGCACCGCACTCCGGACCCTTAAGCCCAAATCTCTAATCCCTAGACCTTCATTCCATCAAACCTCAACACTACACCAAGAAATCTTAAACCCCAAACCCTAAGCCTCAATCCTTAAAGGTCAAGCTCCCAAACCTAAACCCTCAAAAGGAATCCCAGGTCCACAGCTAGAAGCGCCTTGGCCCTTTCGAGGCCCGGAAGGCGGCCACAGCGCTGCGTTCAGCTCCAGTAGCCTTTAAAGGGATTGTATAGGGATTATATTTGGATTATTTAGGGATAATGGAAAATGAAATGGAAACTACTATTCAGGGTTTAGTGTTAGACCGGTTTACAGGATTTAAGGCATAGAAGAGTGGATCCTTGCCACGATCTCGACAGAACCTCCTTTCTTACACCCAAGCCCACCGACCCTTACTGGGCTGCGGTTACAGGAACTGAAATTCATTGACCATACTATAGGTATGTAAGGTGTCCTTAGCATAGCAACCCTAAACCCTGTATACCCCTTCTTACAGTAGCTTAACTTAAATTCCTTAATAGCAACTCAGCTTAAGCACCAGCAAGGAGCTCCGGGATCTGCCAATGGCTGGTGAGTAGATCATAGAGCCTGGGGGACGGCTGTTGCGGATCCCAACCGTACTTGGATGGCCAGGGAGAGGTAGCAAGTAGGTGAATAACCCCTATAACTAACCCATGTAGTAACCTTCATTATGACAATTATGAACCTGCTTACTAATTAAGTCCCCATGACTCTTCAAGTTAAGAATAACAATGCTGAGGAGAAATAGCTCCAAAGCCATCACACTACAGCCCCGAGGAAACCAAGAAGACACATCATGTCGACTACCTTCCATATACTACCCGACTTGAGATTTGAGACTGGCAATCCTGGGGTGGTGTCATCGCTTAAACCCCGGTACACAAGCCCGCATGTCCAAAAAGGAGTACCCTTATGGATGCGTAGGGGCCCTAAACCCTAAACCACCATGTAGTGTCTATAGGGTTCTAGGAATCATTAGGAGAAACTCTCACATCCCAACCTCCGCTCTCAGCTACCAGCGGTGCCTGGGCGATGTGCGACTTTGAAATAGCACTCTGCAAGCCAAAGCCCAGGCTCACAACAAGAGAAATCCAGGAGCCCACTGTTAAGCCCTAAATTATCATATGATCCGAAGCCCTCAATGCTAAACCTTACTCCTCAAACCAGGCGCCATTGGTGGCTCCGCTCCTCCCACAGCTTCGCCATGGGCTCTGCTTCTGCAGATAGCAGCCTCGGCCTTTGTTCACGGCAAAAGCAACAGCACAAACAGCCAGATTGCTGATACTAGCGACTGAGTAGCAAAAGCTAAAGGCTTTAAAGGGAAAACATGCATGAGCCGTTGCTGACAAACCTGGCCCGACGACTAGCTTGCGAAGTGCTGCATGATCCCTACATATGCCGGAACCGATACAAAGTTCTGCATTTACCTCGAGTTGGACTGCCAACACCACAAGAATGTCCTAAACCCATTGTTCAGATGCCTATTTCCTCTCTGTCAGTAAAGCCTCCTCTGTGATCTCCGAATTGACAGGACCCTTTTTTGGATCCTTATAGTCCCCCTTGAGTAGGTATATGGGGATCTTGTATCATGTACTCAAAACCATACTCTATCTACTTAAGGGTGACTAGATGTTCTCGGCACTGCCAAAGTCTTGCAACTCATCATCCCCATACCCCCCTACAAGCTCTACATTGCTCCTGTCAGGTCCAAGGCCTATACAAAGCCTTAAAAGGTTTAGGGTTTAGGGTCAGCTTGCGTTGCATTTTCCACTTGATTCTTCAGTCCCCTCAACCCCGATGCTATGTAGAACTGAAATAGATAAGAGATATATATGGTAGTTTCCCAAATAGGAGTACCCCAATTTTAGATCCCCAAACTTTATAACTCCATATGTATATATAGATACACATATATATATAACCCCCAAGGATATGAGAGAAGAGCTGCACAGATCTTCCGGCCGTTGGACCCTCATCAACCCCATCCTTGGCTCAAGACATTTTCTGCAGTTTCGGCTTTAGGGTTGAGGGTTTAGGGTTTTAGGGTTTAGGGTTTTAGTGTTTTTTTAGGGTTTTAGGGTTGAGGGTTTTAGGGCTTAGGGTTTAGGCTGTGGGCTTTAGGGTTTAGGGCTTAGAGGAATGAGAAGATGTCTTCCCAACCAGTTTGCTAGGCATTGGACCAATCTGGGTGGCTGTTGAGGAACTTGAATTAAGTTACCATACTGGGTATACATAATAATTATAGGGTTTCCACAATATAGTAACTGAAATTAAGTTCCTTAACAGAAACCCAGCAATGCTTTAATTACGCCTGAAAAGCTTCATCATTTCTGAGGAAACACTGAGTACCATACCGCCCTTCTTGGGGCACGCGAGGAGATAGCATCTTTGGAGAAGAGCATCTTACCCCCCTGTTGGGATGCCGATCCCTCTCATCTAACTTGCCACTCCGACACCCCTGTCTCAGCATTAGGTTCAGGTATGTCGGACTTGACAAGGATTCTGAGCATGGCTTTGGGCATTCCCCAAGTTGGTGCTTAAGGTGCTACAATGTCTTCGGCCTCTTCTGCTCCCTTCGTTTGGAGCTTACGCACAGGAGGCAAAAAGTCTTTCCGGACAAAGGAGTGTTGTCTCCAGCAGGGACTGTGAAACAGAGTCGGCAAGCTCCTGCAGATAAGAACTTGAGTTCACATCATGGTGCTACAACAACAAACGCTGAAGAGAGAATGGCCCAACATCATGATCTCCAGGGATGTTGATGTTGTATTTTGCACTTACTTCAAAGCAATGATTGTACGGGACGGCATGTGAAATATGACCCTAGCCCGGACCATACCCTAAATTAACGAGAGCCCAGGGTCAACCCATGACACCTAACCTTCAAGCCTCCTTAACCCAGACCAAAACAAAGAAAGCTCAAAGATGAAAATGCCCGTGCATCCATGAGGTTTGCACGGAGCGCCTAAGATGCAGGGCTTACTGCTTCTGCTGCCAGGCCAGAGATTTAGCAAGTTTGGTTTGCATCTCTGGCATTCGGAGTCAGGGATGTTGGATGTAGGGCGTTGGGATCCAGGTATTTGAGGGGAGGAGCTGCCTTCTTCTTGAAAGCTTCATGGAACGAGGCCTTAGGCTCCAGACATCGCGAACCTCTACCTGCGCCTCATTTCGCTCGGTCTGCATAGCTTCTCTCTTGCCGCCGCTCATGGGGTTTATCCTCTCATCTTACTCGGCCACTTGCTGGTTTTCCTATACTCTTATACCTCTCACTTGCGGCATAGTTATACTTCTATGCACCATATGTGGTTTCAATGTACATTACTATTACATCTATTACTTGCACATGTTTCACCCAGGCACCCAGACCGTCACCGAAAGGATAGACGCCACGACCCCAAAAGTGCACCGGCGCGTCTGGATCATGGGCTTCAGAGCCTTGTGTTGGGTTCCCGGGATTTGGAGCTCCCATGGTCTAGGACTTGACAATTCAGGGTGCAGGGTCTGGAACCTGGTTGCGAATGGTATACACACAGGCTTCCGGGACTTGATATGTTTCAGAAATTAGGGCTTGGGGACAGAGGAATACAAACTTGCTCCACATGTTAGGCCCATCATTCAGTTACAACAGCCACACAGACAGAGATAGAAAGAGTGAGAGACAAGGATTTGTTGCCGACGCCGCTGATATGGATCCCTCTTAACCGTAAACCTTAAACTCTTATGAGGAAAACTGACATTTGGGCCAAGTGAATCCCGGTTCAAGACTGTTTGCCTGCATGTTGCCCAAGAACTTGCTTTACGTACGTGCTTGGCGCTATCATCATGTTGATTCATATCCTTCTGCTCTTGTTTTTTGATTTGATTCTGGACAAGGAACGATACATTCGTTCCGCAAGGGGTTTGGCAGGTATTGCAACTGCAAGTCGAGGCAGCACAGAAACCCTTAGACCTAGTCCCATCACAGGCATACACCCTAGAAATCCGCAGATTCCCCCAAAAAGACCCAAAGAGAGCCCCCGCTACCCGAACCATGAACTCCCTCAAACCTTAACCCCAGGCCCCGCCAAGGCCTCGGATGCAAGGAACTCCTGTGCCAAATGCAGTGGCATGAAAGGGGCATCTGTCCCGTCCGCAGTGGACTGCCAGTACTCCCGGACTGTTTCGTAGAGGATTTCGTCCATGACCTGACAGCGACTTCTGAAGATAGGGACTCTACAGGGTTCAGGGATTTTATCCCAATAATGGAGAATCAAATCAACAAGGAAAATGGAAGATGAAATGGAAGCAGGGATTGTGTTAGTAAGC